TGTTCATTAAATACTTTTTTCCTTTAATTAAAAAAAATGAAGCCTTGGAGAAAGGCTTCTCATGCTATTAATTTGATGTAGAAAGTCTACTTTATACTAGTTGGTTTGAAGAATATGAATTCATTCTTTTTTTTCCTCCCTTCCTTTTTTCTTTGAAGAATGATATTTCATACTTGTATGTTGCTCTAGAGTCTGTCTTTATTTCTTTATTTCTTCACACCTGTCCTGCAAGGGAGGTGACACAGCTGGCCCAGTTTAGGGATAAGGAAACCAAGGCCCCTGCCTTAGGTGAACAGCCACACCATGGTGGTGGTGTTTGGATAAGAACCCAGTCTCCTGGCTCCTAGCAGGCAGTGCCCATCACACCTGGAACCTGTAAGAAAGGAGATGTACTTTAGGTACAATGGACCCTTTTGTTATCCCTCCGTGTTTTTCCCTCAAGAGCTGAATCCCGTCCAAACATACGTAGAAACCAAGGAAGGCTTCCTGGGCTGCGCTGAGGGCAGCGCGGCACTGCCTCGGCCTTCCCAATCGCTGTCATCAGGCAGGGCTGGACGTCAACTCAGTCTCTCGCCTGGGCTTCGCTCTCACTCATCTGAGGCTAAATCGCCCTTGAGAGATGGGACGGTGGGTATTTACATGGCTTACATGCATCACCGGGAGTCTCAGTGTCACCATCGCTGCCACTCTGCCTCAGCGAGAGGGACACAGGACGCCGGACTGAGTTGTCAGTGCTCCCCTGGCTCTGCAGTTTGGCTGTTCTGTCTCGGGAGATGGCTCCTTTGGGTCTAGAATCCCTTCTGATGGTCTCACCCGCCCTACTTGCCCCACCATTCTTCCTGCTGGCAGATTTTGGTGAACCCATCTCACATGCCTCTGTGTGCCTTGGAGAACCATTTCCAGATGTGTTTTAGGAACTTAAGAGTAGATGTGGAAGGTAAAGATAATTCTGATACTGAGGATTGCTGTGTCCTCTCTGTGTCCCACTACCCCACCATCGTCTGTAGTCTTTCTCTGACTGGTGAGGGACCCTTCGGATGGTCAGATTTGCCCCCAGCCCTCCTGGGCCATATAGTCTGAAGAGAGCCTGCGGCCGGACAGCTTGGGGATAGAGAGACAGGCAGCGAGGAACCTCCCTGGTCCTCAACCGTGCGCTTGTGCACTGAGCCTCAGGACGGGGGGGGGGGGGGGGGGGGGGG